GAGGGTGAGACCAGGAGGAGATGAATAAATTGTAAAAAAATTATAGATAGATAGATAGATAGATAGATAGATAGATAGATAGATAGATAGATAGATAGATAGATAGATAAAAACATGCATGGTGGTTACTGATTACTTTAAGTCATGGAAAATTTTGAAATTAAACAGGTGTGTCTGTCCCACAAAGCACTATCATGAGGCCAAGGGTGAGATCCTCCTGTACTGTAAATGGCTGAAGGAGGTAATGATTCCTAAATGAAGCTGGGAAACCAAACTGAAACCAACAGTGATTTTCACACCTGCTTTCTGCCTGAAACACAGCTTCAGAATGTGTATTTTTCACCATTAAATAATGGTTGATATTCATCAATAATTTTTTATATCTCTGCATTTGGAATGTTATCAGTTATTCCATATCCAAATTGTATTTTTAATTGTTCCACTGAGTTTTTTTTTCCAAGAACTGTATTTCCAGCCAGGTATGGTGGTACACACCCATATTTTCAGTGCTCCGGCAGGTTGAAGCAAGGAGGGGTTCAACCTACGATACATCGTGATTTCAGTGTTAGCCTGGACAACCTAGTGAAACTCTGTCTCAAAAATAAAAATAAAATTTACATTTTTTTGAGTAGATGGCCTATTTTCCTGCTTTAACTAAAGTTCAGGAACTGTCATTAGTGTTACTGATAGTATGTCAAAGGAACAACAGATTATGATTCTCACTGAATTCAAACCACTGCCTATATATTTTTGTTTCTGTAACAGGAAACAGAAAATGGAATTTAAAATCTCTTTGGGGATTGTGAGATGAGAATGCTTGTTCTGCAGACATGAGGCTGTAAGTTCAAATCCCCAGAGCCCATGTGGAAAAAAGTAGGTATTGTTGTGTGAACCTGTAAGCCCAGCATCAGGAGGTAGAGACAGGCTGATCCCAGACACTCCCTGGCCAACCAGGCTAGCTGAAAGATAAGCATGTAGGTCAGTGAGAGGACCTGCCTCACTGTAAGAGACAGTAAGACAAAGAACCATAGAAAAAGACCTCAAAATCTTCCTCTGTCCTCCACATGTACCAACAGGGGCACAAATCTGCAGTCATGTGCAGTCACCATGCGTACACACACACACTCACACACTTTAATCAACTTTTAAAGGAAAATTGCATCATCTTTTTATGGCTGCATCCTCAAACACATATGCATACACATGAATAATTTTGATTAAGAAAACAAACTCTTTTAAATACAGAACTGCATTCTTTTCTTTTGTAGATGTTCCATCTGTTGCTTTTCTGAGTCTCATTCTTCCCTTAAGGTTTTATGTTTTTTATTGTGATATTTTATATGTATGAACTGTTCGCCTTTCCTCTGGATGTACTGTTATCCTAAGCTCCTAAGGCTCTCACACTGTTGTTATCTGCTTGCTGTTAGCTCACTGCCTCCTCGTGAACTGTCTCCTCATGTGGTTGATCACTGGCCGTAGTGAACCTATTTTTAGCAGCTTGCTCTTGGATGAATCTTGTGAGCAGTCAACATGGACGGAGCTATTCCTTCTCATTGTTTAGGGTTAGAGTTGCTACACTAAGAGCCTAAAGCTTGAGGGTCTCTCACTCAGTATAAAAGAATCAGGGCTCACGTGGCATGTAGGTCCCTAAGCTGACATCCTCGGGGCTGGAGTACGGTCTTCCTTGTATCCGTCCTGACGCTGTGCTGGTGGCCATCATTCCTAGCCTGACATCTCAGTATTATGAGAGTTCTGGTGTCACTCCGGACACATCAGTTCTAGCCTTCTGCCTCATCTGCAGCTCAGACCTTTCCCATTTCATATTCTCTCTAGCATCGTCTTTGTTCCTTACACATAAGCAGTCCCTTATAATTTTTTTAGCAATTCAAGTAATGGTCTTGTTCCATCTTGTGGTACTTTTGTTCAAATCTAGGACCTTGCGTATGTTAACAAGTGTCTTATCATGGAGCTATATCTATCCCCGAGCCTGCCAAATTAGGAATGTTTTAAAAGATTTTAAAATGTTTTTACATTGATTTCTTGGGGGTACACATACTGCACAGCGCACATGCCGAAGCCAGAGGGTGTTTCTCCAGAGCCAACTCTCCCCTTCCACAGTGCAGACCCGAGGGATCAAGCCGAGCAGGTGGCAAGCTCCCTTACCACTGAGCCACTGCACGCCTGCGCTTTGGCAGGTTTTTCCAACTGAGTCATTAGTCACAATCTGAACAGTGATAAGGGACAACTCAATAGTTTATGCTCAGTGACCAACTGAACTAAATCAACTAATCTCTGCTGCTTTGGAAACTCTTAACAACTCTGTGTGTGTGTGTGTGTGTGTGTGTGTGTGTGTGTGTGTGTGTGTGTGTCTGAGACTCTTTCTCATGTTCAGAGTCATAGACTAGAGGTACATATGTACATAAAGAAACTCCTGGGGTCTTGGCAGGATGTGGGACTTCATTGTTATTCATGATTCAAGGCTGATTGAATAGAATGTCGCATCTTCTTTCTAATTGGAAGTTATAGAAAAAAAAAAAACAACTGAGACTCTTTCTCACAAGCACCATCTTTAAAATATTAACACTTCACTTACCAAGGCCTGAGAGAGCGCAACAATTGGTCTTCCACAAGATAACTTCCTACAGTCCTCAGTAGTAAAGCTCCAAAATTACACATAAAACATTCTTTTTAAGAAGAGAATGTGAAAGGAAGTTTTTTTTAGTGAGAGTGGGTGAATTCATATCACAGGAATGTCTCAATGATTTGAGACAGCCACGCTGTACCTGAGGGGCACCAGTGATTGCCACCATTCTACCAGTACACACATCCCACTTGGAGAACACACACACACACACACACACACACACACACACCCCTTCAAAACCTTCAAAGCCTAGGAAGTGTTCATTTGTACTCTCTACCCAAGGAAGGTCATTTTTCTTAGCACGCGTCCCTGCATCTTAAATCTAGTGTCTACTGCTTAAACTTCTCCAGGTATATTTTCATTCTACTATAAAGTCTAATCCTTGTCAGAGAACACAGTGGATGAAAAAATAACCTTGACCTGTTTGGGAAATAATCAATTTGGAGGAGAAAGGCTTTAATTCCAGTGTGTGATCCATTCTCAACATGACTTCACGAGCAGTGCCCATCATGAACTGAAGCCCATTACAACATCTTCCTGATTCTTATCTGCCCTCACAAAGAATGGGCTGAGGTTCCTGAACTGAAGGAAAAGAGTACTTTTTTCTCTAAGCAGTATATATAGAGAGCTTCTTTTAGTATATAATTATTAAATATATTATATATAATTACTATTATATATAATAGTAATTTAAAGAAATTCATGATGAAGTGTGTTCAGACAACTTGGAATTTTTACTATATTTAATCTCACTGCTGAAAATAGAACCACAAGTATTTAAAGCAATCATTTTCCTAAGGACAAAGAAATAAATAGAGGAGACTATAGGATTAAAAACGTTCTGTTAATGTCTAATTTTTTGTGAAGGCATGTAGTTATTAAGTCACTTAATTTAGCCAATAGGTAGTGTTAGCAAATAGCATTAGAGGCTTGGTGAATCCCTACCATGCCCAGAAAACTCCCACAAAGCTAAGACCACAGAAGTTCACCACCTGGCCTAGTTTCTCAGCAAAGTTGTGAAGAGCTATGTTCATGATGGCAGCATCAATTCATTTTTCTATAATTATTTTTTCTTGCCATGCATCTTCTTGTCTTTAATGTGTACTCTGTCAACAAGCAAATAATACTTCACTAGAGACTGTTAAAAATGCAGACTCCCCAAACACAGCTAATGCTTAAGGAACTGGAGTCTTAGCAAAACCTCCAGGTGGTCCTATGCTCATCAAAGCTTAAGAAGCTTGGGTTTGCCCTAGGAGACAGAACTTTTTAGGGCAGGGAGACGGCTCAGTGGGTAAAAACGCTTATTGGACAAGCATGAGGACCCAAGTTCAGACCCCAGCACCCAGGTAAAACCTGCTTCAAGGGCTTACACCTGCCAGTCCAAGTAAAATATTGAACTCCCCATCAGTGAGATCCTGTCCCTCAAAGAAGTGATGTGGAGAGCTGTAGAGGAAGTTATCCTTTTCCCATCTCTGGCTTCTACCCCACAATGCTTGGGCACACATATCGACACAGCGCACACCACCCTGCACAGCAGAGGGAGCGGGGCAGAAGGACAGGAAGAAACAGAGAGACTTCTAACCGGACAGCAAACATAACATTGACAAAAATGTCCAGAAATTAGCTATTGATGGAGGCTGCAAAACGACTACTGCATGTGCAATGCTGTACTATACAACTTAAGAGCTGAATTTTATGTTGTCTGAATTATTTTTTAATTTTCCAGAAATGAAAAGATAGATTATAGTAGATTTGCTCGGGCCTGCACAGCTCAGATGAATGGAACCACTTCCAACTTTTTTTTGTTTGTTTGTTTTTCATCGAGAAGAAAAATGTAGATGCCCCATTTCCTGGGGGCTCAGTTCTCACCAGGAAAATAAACCACAGCAGGCTTTGACTCTCTCAGCCCTGATGAGGGCCCCCAAAGCTGACCTAAGTCATGAGGGCCTGCCAGGTGCGCCCCACCCCCCGGGGGAGGGGTTGGATCCTCTCTCCACTCTGGAAAAGCTAACAGAACTGAGAAAGGTTTTTCCTAGGGAACAGCTTTCAGATGGCTGTGACAGGCCAGGAAACCTGGGTACTCAGTCAAGCAAAGATTAACCAAAGGTGTAAAGAGCCGGAAATACTATCTGCCTGCTACACAAGTGGTCACCTCCTGAGGGGGGTGGGGGTGGGGCACGGGAGGACGGGAGACTCTGTTTCTCCGGTCTATTACCATGTGTCTGTCCCTCCTTACCACCACTGTCACCAACCTCGTATGCGGGGTTGTTGTTGTTAAAAACAAGGGCTCCTTGTGATTCAGAGGCCGTTAGTAAGGAGCCGGTTTCCCTTTTTTTTTCTGTCCTGCTACTCGTACAAAAACCTGAATGGGTCTGTTTTCCCGTCCTAACCTCAGCTCCGGGGTGAGAAGGAGGTTGTCCCTTCTCTCCCCAAGCAATCTTTTCGCAAGACGACGGACCATGGCCGAGCTGGAGAGGGCACTGTGGTGGGCCCCTGCTCCGAAGTGCCTTCCAAGACCCCGAGAGTTCTGCTGGCTCCCCCACAGGGGCTGACTCACACCGGAGCGAAAACTGGACCCCGCTCCGACTTCGGATCGTGCCTGTTGAGCAGTGCCACGGGGTGGCAGCGGCTGTAAAAACTGACCCCGCACAGGGTCCCCTGTGGTGACCTGCCAGCCTACCCCCTGTGGTGGGAAGAGAACTGCGCGGGCTCGCTCCGAGGGCGAGCGCACCCCTCGCGTGCCCACCAGCACGCAGCCCGGTCCCAAGCGCGCTCGCATCCCCGGCTTGCCTGGGTGCCTGGAGGGACATCGGCGGTGGGACGCGCGCGGTGCCCACTCCTGTAACCCGTGCTGCCCGCGCCCGTACTTACAAGCTGGGGTAGTAGCCGTATGGCGGCAGCGGGAGCTGCGGGCAGCCGTCGTCTCCCAGCTCGTCCATCAGCAGATAGTCCTGGCTCTCGTTGCGCCGCGCGCCGGCTCCAGGGGCAGCCAGCGGAGAGCCGCCCCTCCGGGTCACGAAGCCAGGGCTCTGGCTCATGGTACAGCCCCCGGCAGGCCTGCACCCCAGCTCCGGTGGATGGGGACCTGGGAAGAAGGGGCCGCGTCACCTACCGAACTGGCCCAGAGCAGAGCGATGCCCGGGAGAGGAAGATGAGGGAAGAGAGGCAGACGCCTGGCTGGCCGGGGTATGCCAGTGGCTTTTCTGCCCGCCAGGGTGGAAGTCACTACTTAGGGGGGTGGGAGACAACCGCCGAGGGAACCTTGACCTGAGCACATCTGGACCTCACAGGCAGGCGGCCCCGAGCTCCCAGGCAGAGGGCACAGGCGGGGCCTCAGTGGCAGCCGCCAGGGAGAGCAACCGAAGAGTTACTATGTCAACCGCGACTCTCCAGCCCTCGCCTCCCGCCTTCTTCCCCCACATCCTCCGTCACGATCCCCACCTTTAAAGGGATCGGAGGGACCGTCCAGAAATCCGCCGACCCCTGTCTGGACGCCACAACTTGCAGAGCAAGAACAAACCTGAACCAGGGAGAGCCAGGCACGCCCTTTATTTGGGATTGGAAGGGCTGACTGCTTCCAAAGTAGGTCTGTGCAGGAGCGCCTGGGGAGGGCTTTCTAGGAAGTTTCTTCTAAGTAACACTCAGAAGTCAGGATCCTCTCCTTCTTCCACACCGCCTTCGTTTTCTTGGGATGTTTTCGCTCCCGTTCTCAAACTCCTTGGGCTCCGCTTTAAAAAGAAGAACCGTCTGCTGCGTTCTCACCGCGGAATGCTACTTGTTCCCGAGAAAACCAACAAGAAAACGGGCATTTTCCGATGATGCCTGCTTGTTTTAGGGAAAATCCTCCCTAAGTCATTCCGATGCCGGAACTGTTGCTCTCCCTGGTGTGTTTTCTCCAACGTCCTGTTTTTGAAACTTGTTTTTTGATTAATTGGCATACACCTAACAAAATTAAAACCTTCTCAATACGATCGTGTGGGAATCCTCTCCGTGGTTAAAGCGTTTACCACAAAAGTATGGGCACATGAACTGGGGTCTCCTGTGTTCCTATAAGAGTCCTCCATAGTGAAGGGCATGTCTAACTCCAGCACAGCAGTAACAGGCTCTCTGAGGTTGACTGGACAGCTATTCCAGCTAGCTCCACTCTCAGTGAACCCTGTCTCAGAGAGTCGACGGAGAAACACAACTTAAATTGATAGCTGACTCCACATGGACATTCAAATCCCCCATCCTGTGGTTCCGTGAGTGCGCACGCTTACACACACACACACACACACACACACACACACACACACGCACACACACGGTGAATCGATATTTGTAGTAGTTCATTTAAAGGAAGTTAATTAAGAACCCATTCATTCATTCAGCAATATTTAATGAATGCCAAGGGTATGTTACCAACCACTTTTAGGATTCAGGGGCAAACAAACAGTGAAAGAATTTTCTGCCCTCACAGTGCCCTTGGGAAAGAGAAACGGTGGTTAAACAAGAAGAATGTACATAGCTTTCACCTCTAAAGCCTGCACTTAGAAGCCTGAGGCACAAGATTGGAAAGAGTTCAAATCTAACCTTGACTATATACGAGTTCCAATCCAGCCTGGGCTACAGAGTTACACTCTGCCTTTTTAATATATATTAAAAAGCCAATAAAATTCACAGAAATAAGTCAGGCTGATGTGGTGGTCCCAACAAAATGGTTCTCCAAGAAGCTGCTAATTGGTCTAAGACACAAACAGCAAGGAGCCGGTCATGAAAACAGCAGATGTGAATTGCACCTGAATTGAAGAACAAATTCTGCTTCCCAGAACACGTAGACAATAAAATGGGTGTTGGGAGTGACAGCAATAAAAATTGAAAGGCAGAGGGGGCTGGAAGGGATTAAGAATCAATAAACACTGACTTTGCCAAACACTAAGGGGAGGTGGAAAAAAGGAACAGGTCCAGAGGACCTAGCTTTGTGTTTGGCAAATGCCCTTTGGATGTAAACATCATCCCTAGGAGGCTCATGGTACCTGGAGTTGGCGAGATGACTCAGTGGTTAAGAGCACTTGCTCTTCTTCAGGAGGACCAGAGTTCAGTTCCCAGCACCACATTAGGCTGCTCACAACTGCCTCTAACTCTAGCTCCAGGGGCTTCAGTGCCTTCTTCTGGCTTCTATGGGTGTTGTACAAGCATAAATGCACAACACACACAAATATTTTTTTTTTCAAGGCTTGATAATGCAATGTTCAGAGGTTGGCCTTTGGGATGTGATTGGATCATGAGGCCCTAAACTGGTGTGTGTGTGTGTGTGTGTGTGTGTGTGTGCGCGCGCGCGCGTGCGCGGGGGCACATTGCAGGTAGAGTGCAGTTAAAGAAGTAATGCATGGGAGGCATGCCATTGAGAGAACATAGCTTCGCTCACTCCTTCCTCTCCCCTGCCTGCTCTTACTTATCCGTGGCCACCCTGAGGGAAGAAGCTTTCTCCTTGCTTTAGGCTGAAAAACATGAAGCCAAATGAGCAGGGAGCCCTCTGGGATAGGAGCTGACGTGAGTCTTTGCGCCGTTGAGTTGTTTCTCTCCAGCATTTTGTTAGCGTGACTAACACATCACAGAGATGTAATGAGCAGGCTGGTGGGTGGAGTAAAGAGACATAAAAGATTCTGCCCCCACAAAAATCGTATTTACCCTGAGAAACTAAGGGTGGAAGCTGGTTGCTTCTAATAGCTTTCTTTTAAGCTCTGAATATGTGAAATCACGATTTAAAATTCTTACTTCTTCGTGGTGATTATACCCAACAAAAATATTCTGCTTGAAGTCTGTCAGTTTGGGGTCAGTTCTACATCAGACCTCCGTCGAGGAAACTCAGGCAAGGAGCTCAGGTAGGGACCTGGAGGCAGGAGCTGGAGCCAACTCTTCACCCAAGGTTTCCTCTGCCCAAGTGACTCTAGTTTATGTCAAGTTGACAAAAACTAAGCAACACAGTGGTCATGTTATCTATCTGTGCTCAGCAGCTTTGATACTTTAATTAATTAATTTAAACAACGCCCAGGTAATGATTTTGGAAGGCAGCTATGCTTACCACTTTACCACCAACCTATGTCAGGTAAGGTTTTTGGAAAGACCAAATACAGGAAACAGTGGAATTGGTAATGTAGCATTCAAGTCAAACTCAAACTCTGTAAGCTGAAGTTAGAGTTAGAAAAATCCATGTTGGTATTGGAAGTGTTAGTTTTCTGCTTTAAAAGAATGTCCAGGGAATTTGTGATTTGTTTTGTTTCAGTTGGCTGAGCTGTTTGTACCTTTTCTCAACACTGTTTTTCATTCACACATAACAACCTTCACACTGAACAAAGTTATTACATTTATACTGTGACATTATTTTTTCATTTGGTAGAACAAGATATCATTTGAAATATAGTCATCATTAAACCAATATAAGGGCAGTTCTGTGGTAGGAGGACATGGGTATACAAACGAATCCAGGATTCTGAGAGGTTTCTATGATGAAATAAAAGACCATAGTGTTTGAGTATGAGATGTCCCAGGAGGCTTATATATTGGGATCTTGGGTTCAAGCTTATGTGCCCGGGGGGAGGGGGGGAAACGTGACTGCACCCTCGCATCCCTGCTCTACTCAGTAGATCAATTCCTCAGTGGACTCAAACTGTATGGCATTATTGGGAAACTGAACTGTCAGAGAAGGAGCCTGGTTGGGGGGAAGCAGGTCACTGAGAGTCTTTGGGGATCTGTGTATTCTCCAACCATGTTCCTGACTGCCTGCTCTTTTTCTTTGCCAAGAACTTTCATGGCCGTGACGCTGTGCCTCATCACGGGCATGGAAACAACAGAGACAGCCCTGACAGATAGATCGAAACCAATAGAGATGTGGATGGAAATAAAGCGTTCTTCCCCACTAGTTGAGTATTTCATCCCAGCAACACAAAGTATGACTGACACAGACAAGCAAATAAAAGGTACAGAGCTCAAATTTATTTGTTGGGGGGGTGGGGGCAGGGAGATGAGGGATGTGAGCTCAGAGTCACAATTCTCCTGCCATAGTGACTTTAATGCTGGGAATACTGAACACCGTGGACATTCTGAAGGCTGAACTGGGTGATATCAGACACTGTTTGATGTCTCCATGTCAAGGGTTGTTAGTCTGCAAGGACTTGTGATTTCTGAGGGAAACTCTGTTGCTAATGTCCTACATTCTGTAGTCATGAATGTAGCAGCGCTTTCCTAGTTAGGTCAGTAAAGAACAAGAGAGGATATCTTCCCCACGAAATGCTCCTGAATCAGGTGTGGAAAACTGAGCAGATCTGGAAGAAGGGGGAAGTTGGCAACAGAAACAGCAGTGAAGATTAAAAGTTGCCGGACGAGAGAAGAGAGAGCATACAGTTCTCAAAAAGACATTTTAATTTTAAATTTTTCTCATTTATTTATTTTGTTCATTTTACATCCTTGTAGCCCCTTGCCTCCTCCCCTCCAAGTTCCACCCTTTCTTCCTTCCCTCACTCCCCATGTGTTTTCCTCAGAAAAGGGGATCTCCCTTTGCCATCCATCCCCACTCATCAAGTTGCATCAGGACTGAGCATGCTCTCTTTCCTGGTGGCCTGTCAAGGCAGTCCCACCAGGGGGAAACTATCTAAAAACCAGCAAGTGAGCCTATGTCCAATGCAGTCCCCGCTTCCTTACTAGAGGACCCACTTGAAGCCTGAGCTGCCCATCTGCTACACCTTTGTAGGGGCCTAGGTCCAGTTCATGAACAGTCCTTGGTTGATGCTTCAGTCTCAGCAAACCCCTCTGGTTAGTTGGTCCTGTTGTTTTTCTTGTAGAGCTCCTGTCACTTCCAAGTCCTTTTCTCTTTCCTCCCACTATCCCCAAGACTCCCTATGCATCGACCAATGTTTGGCTGTGAGTCTCTGCATCTGTTCTGAGGTGCTGCTGGATAGAGCCTCTCAGAGGACAACTCTAACAGGCTCTTGTCTGTAAGCTTAGCAGAGTATCATTCATAATGTCAGGGGTTGGCACTCTCCCAAAGGGTGGGTCTTTGGTTGGGTCAGGCATTGGTTGGGCATTCCCTCAGTCTCTGCTCTATTTACTCTATCTCTGCACATCTCTTAGGGTAAATTTTAGCTCAAAGTATTTGTGGGTGGGCTAGTGTTCCCCACCCTTTACGAGGAGACTGGTCTGGTTAGTGGATGTCCCCTCATATCCTTCCAGG